CACAACACAAAACTGATTCTTCCCCCAACAGCTTACTCCAAAGTGGAGCAAACCAGTTATGTTGGTTCTAAGATGCCGGCCCTCTCCCTCGTCGACTGTCATGTCAAACTGGTTCAAAACCAACAAAGTCCATGCTCAATAATCCAAGTATTCCATCCAGAAGGCTTCATCAGTCAAGGAAGCACACAACACAGAAGTTTTGTGTTGTGTGCTTCCTTGACTGATGAAGCCTTCTGGATGGAAGTTGAAATATTTCAACAAAAAAAAACAAAACAACTGTTCAGATGACCTGACTGAAAATTGTTGGTATGTTGTCAGACGTTTCCGGCTTAATTTTCATTAATCTTCTCCACACCTGTGAAATAATTTTTTTTGTTGTTGTTGCTCAGAACAAGAATTAAAACACACGTTGACATTTATGTGTGGTTTCAATTAAAGATTTACTTTGGTTCAATATAATGAATCAGTATTGATTTATTGAGCCTTTTCTAACAGCCTAAAGACGCACAAAGTTCTTCACAAGACAAAATACATAGCAGCCCACTGCTCCACCTGCGTGCATCTCACGTGTGATGGGTTAAATACAGAGAACTAATGTTGCCATTGTATGGGAACATTCTCACCAGGCCGAATCCATTAAACCTAAAGCACATTTGCACATTTATCAACATTCATTGTTTTAATTGAGCTGATGGTTGTTTTATGTCTGGGTTTAACCCTGATCCTGGAATCAAATGCAGAAGTGCAAACACCTATATGTATTTGGTAAATTATTTTAATGTTTTTAATAACATCACCTGGTTTGTTGGGATTAGTAGTATAGTAAAGAACATATTAGCTGTTCATCAACTGATAGTTAAGATAATTTGAAGTGTGATTTAGTGAAGAGATTATGAAACATTGATATCTTACCTGCTGAACTTCCATTGGTTTATTTATTTAACCCACTTTTCCATGCAGGGTACTCCAGGAGCAGCAAGCCCAACAGAATTAAAGTCTAGTTCTCTGTAAAGAAGTTGCTCAAAAAACCTGCGATGGGCTTGCATTCTGTCTAGGTGCGCTCTGCCTCTCATCCAATGACTGCTGGAAATCAGCTCACGCTCCTTGCTACCCCGCACAGGAAACTCAAACCAGCTGGACTGCTGTCACGTTAAAACAACTCCAATCTCAAATAAAACTACTGCCTTTCATTAGAAGCTATTCTATAAACCTTTGTTTGCCATCAGCTTTACTTTATATGGGTACTTTGATAGAATTCAAACAGCAGCAGCTAGCTGTAGCACTTCTGGTGCAGCCTGGGGACGATACAGGATTACTATGATGTTTCTGCAAAAATAAGCACATATATAACCATGAATGAAACTGTTTTTCCTGAGGTCAGTCTAAGCATTATCTATAACAGGTAAGATATTAACCGTCCGTAACATTTCCAAGCAACCTCACATCAAAGGATCTGAGTTGTTTTAAGGTATTTTTTTATTTTTGCCCTTGTTGCTAGGCCTGTCACGATAACAAATTTTGCTGGGCGATTAATTGTCTCAGAAATTATTGTGATAAACGATAATATTGTTTGAAATTTCACAATAATTAGTCATTATTGTCAAATTTAAGAAGAAATGTTGGTTATTTTGTTTTGAGTGTAGTACCTTTTTTGACCACCTGATGGCAGTATAAGACTGTTTGAACTGAAGGATGGATAGTGAGGGAGCGAGCAGCATGTCTCTTTAAGAAAAATGGGAGGGAGGCCCCTTGACGTGACATGGGCTGTCTCTCCTTCCCTTTTTTAGGTTTTCAAAATGGTGGAC